GCTGGCTCATAAAGGACCTCCAACCCCCAACTTCGGCAAAGCAAATAACTAAATGTGTAAATTTGTCCACAGAAGGACCTTGTTTTCCAGTTACTGTATGTAGTTCTTCAGCTCATCCTATATGGTCAGTATGAATTATCATGGTTACTCCCCACCCAAAGGTTGAGAAGAGCAGAATTCCTAATCTATCCCGGTCTCTCTAGCCTCTCTGCAGCGACAGCTCAAGAGTGCTGTTATCATGATAATAAATCAGGGCTAGTAAGGCAAAGCATAGCTGTATTCCTACCTGTCCTGGTAAACCTTAGTTTTACCTCCTCCCTGGCAGTGGCAGAGATTTCTAGTAGAGCCTTAAAGCACAGCATGCTCCAAACACAAAACTCTAACAAACAACTCCAGCTAGTCATAGACTCCACCTCAGTGTCTCACCTCCTTACAGCAACAGCTTACATCCCTGACACATAAAACCCTTCAGAACCATTGTGCATTGGATCTGTTAACAGCTGACAAGAGAAGTACACACATGTTTCTAGGAAAACGTGTTGCTACTGTATTAATGAGTCGGGGGTGGTTGAGCAAAAGGTAAAAGTGTTAAAAATCGTGGCCAATGAGTTCAAAAGTCACTACTGGGTCAACGCAGCAACCACCCCCTGGTTCAAAAACACCCTTATGTCCTGGGTCATGCCCCTGGTAGGACCCCTGGTAATAATTTGCTTGCTGTTACTTTAAACCCCTTGTCTTTTTAAGTTCCTTTAAGAACGAATGAAAGACATATCCAATCTAACTGCTAACCAACTCTTGTTACATCCTTACAGCCCCCTACCTGCCAATGCTGGGCCAGACCATTCCAGCCCACAGCTTCCCCCGTCCCCACCCCCGTTGCCCCATACCAGCAGGAAGTAGTCAGATCAGATATTAATGCTCCTTTGTCACTAAAGAAGCTGAATTGTTTGAACTAAGCTGAAGTAGGTCAGAGCCCTGCACATGCTTTCCTGCGCATCCTCAAAGGTCAGCAGTAGACTGCACCAGATAAGATAACTGGTGAAATCAGATGCTCTGGGCTCAAAGAAAGCCATAAGGAATTGACAAGCAATTCTCAGAGTGTCTAGACCCCATATGCTAATTATCATCATTGCCATACGTTCCTCACCACCCCTTTCAAAACCTGCACCCCCAGCTGCTGAGCATGACTTCCCCGACCTGTTGGCCTAGGTCAGGGAACCTCATCCAGGAGCTCACCCCTCATAAAGTTATTTCTGTTTCTGCTCTCCCTTGTCCTGTCAGTTATGTCTTTCTGTCTCCCTGTACCTCAGTTTCACCTTTACATTGTTGTATCCCTAGCCAAATATATGGACTTGCTGATGGTTCAATCCCCAATTTCTTCTGTGATGTTTGACTCTTCCATGAAACTCTCCTGCTCTGACATACACCCCAATGACATGAGGATTCTTACTGAGGGGCCTTGATAATG